CCCCAAAACCCCAAAACCCCAAAACCCCAAAACCCCTTAGGGGTGTATTTAAATAGAAAAGTTCTGAAATTATTACTGTTTCATAATTTATTCTAGTTTAAAGAATTTAGAGAGAGGAAGGATTAAATGTAAAAAAATATTGTGGCTTTTTAGCTCAGCTCTTAGTCTGCTTTGCAGGAGTTTTGGATGGCAATTGAGACCTCTTCGGGTTGATCCTATTATAATTAGAACTATTTCAACTTACATTATGATACTCTTTCTGAGTATTTTCATCCTTCGGTGATCAGGACAAGATGGAGCTGTATAAACTTAGTCTTTGGTATTTCAAGTAAGAAATTTTTAGAATTTGGCAGATGTAAAAATAAGGCAGAAATTAGGTAACTTGTTCGATATGCAATTTCATTGGTCTACAAATTAAATCAGATTCAGAGTTATTTAATTGGGTAAAAATTTAGGATTCTTATTTTTGAGAGGGTTGAAATTGCTTGTGTTTTATTTTCAAAATCTTAAATATTACTTTTGCTGGTGAGTAAAGTGCTATCCTTCATTAATAGTTTGCATGCGCCTAGCTTGCTCTTTTTCCTCAGCTTGAGTACTTGTATAGATCTTAATTTCTTTCCTCCTTTGCTTGAGACGTTTAGGCTGTTTCGCCCTTTTCCATTAGATTTTAAAATCTTTGGTTCTAGGATGGTGAACAAATCAATACTTTTATTGTTAAGAATAACTAACCCTCTTCATTTGCTTGAACCTTTTTGGTCAGAGACATCATAAAATTTCTTTATGACTCCACTATATTTCCCTAGTGGTGGTGATTTTGGAAGAGCTGGCATGACAATTTCTCCCAATCTACTCCCGTTTCTCAGAGGGCAGAGTGAAGACCGTGGCTCTAGATTTAACTCTTGTCATCTTCGGTAAGATTCAACTTCAAAGAGAACTGACTTTTCTGGAGTGAAAGAGTCTTCAAGGCCCATAAAGCTGGTTTGTCTTCTGTCAGGAAGGCTTGACCTACATCTTCCCTATAAAATATCATCAGAAAGGTTAAAAAAGTTAGCTTACAGATCTACTAGAGTTCAGGTCTTGTAATGCTAGCCTTCTAATGTCGTCTCAATTGACTTTGTTGATCTTTTTTGAGTTTGTGTAACTTTTGTTATTTTCCATCTTAATATTCAGGATTATGAATAATTCAAAAATATACAATAAATCTGGGGTTTTGGGGTTTTGGGGTTTTGGGGTTTTGGGGTTTTGGGGTTTTGGGG